TTGTTTTAATCGATTACATAAAATATTGATGATATCGATTAACTTTACTGAAAACTAATCATGTCGATTATTTATTAAAAATATTTATTCTAATAATTTATTCAAAATTTTAAAAAATTATAGCGATTAATTGATTGATTGATAGAAAATATTGATTAATTTTATATCGATAGGGGCACGATGTATCGTTCAAAACTGCTATTTGTCAATGTCACTCTTGAATCACAGTAGCAGAAGTAACAGTGAAAGAGAAGTAGCAGTTTTTCCCACTTCTAGCATGATGTATATCAAGCAACCAGACTTTAAAAGTTTCAAATATGAATATATATACACTGGTTATCATAAATTAAGGAAAAATCACAAAAATAGCGATAACTCTTTCAAAAGTAAGCCAAACCGTGCAAAATTTGCATATGTTGTCCACTAAGAGTAGCTGAGTAAAATTGCAATATGCAAATTAGTGGCGCTGCACTCGGCTTACGTCATCTGCCTGGAGCATAAAAGTCCAAGTTTGAGAGAAAGCACACAAATTTTACTGTGATTGCGACATTGAAAATCTGAGATAGCCAATTCGTAATAATGACCTCTAGGCATCATTTGCCTGAAGAACTACGATGGAGAGCCATCGGGAGACTAGAGGCAGGGCAGAGTCAATCAGAAGTGGCCAGATGGCTAAATGTGAGTCCATCTGTGGTTCATAGACTTTGGAGGCAATTTCAAACCACAGATTCGGCATCTAGGAGGTTCAGTCAAGGACGGCCAACTGTTACGACCAGTGCCGATGACCGATATTTGACATTAAGTGCACGCAGGAATAGAACCGCTACTCCGACACATCTTAGATCCTCTCTTGCTGCAGCCACCGGAAGGTTGGTGTCAACGTCAACTGTGCGCAGAAGGCTCCACGAAGGTGGTCTGTATGCGAGACGACCAGCCATTTGCGTGCCGCTCACATCACGCCATAGGAGAGACCGTTTGCAGTGGGCCCGACAACATGTCCACTGGACGTCAGATCAATGGAGGCCTGTTCTCTTTACGGATGAGTCCAGGTTTAGTCTAGAAAGTGACAGTAGACGTTATTTGATATGGAGAGAACCTGGGACCCGTTATCATCCATCAAACATCCGTGAAAGAGATGCATACGGAAGAGGCAGTGTCTGTGTTTGGGGAGGCATATCCTTAGGAGGGCGCACATACCTCCATGTCTTTCCAAGGGGAACCGTGAATGCTCAGGTTTATCGAGACAACATCCTTGATGCTTATGTGCGCCCATATGCCGGGGCAATTGGTGATTGCTTCCTGTTACAGGACGATAATGCAAGACCACACAGAGCTCGCATTGTTGATGATTATCTTCAACAGGAAACAATTACTCGCATGGAGTGGCCAGCTCGATCCCCGGACTTGAATCCTATCGAGCACGTTTGGGATGCTCTAGGGAGGCGTGTATCTGCCATCAATCCGCCCCCTCAGACCCTTGCCACGCTTGCAACTGCTTTACAAGAGCAATGGCTCTCACTTCCTATTGAACTGATAGACCGCATAATTGAAAGCATCACACATCGCTGTTTGTGCTGTATTGCTTCTAGAGGCAATCATATTCCATATTAAAGGTACTTTTTCTATTGCAAACCGATACTTCCAATTTGTTTATTTTATACATGTGCTAATTTCTATACTACTATTAATGTCTGATAATTTCTTTTTATGTTGTTTAATACCTTACTATGTGTTGTATATTGTGGGTAAGTTTCATAAAATTCCATGTGTAATTTCTTGAGTTATCGCGATTTTTGTGAATTTTCCTTAATTTATGATAACCAGTGTATATATATATATTTTATTGTATCTACCACCATTGGAAATGATTAGCAAATACTTCGAGAATGTGCAATAAATCCTATTCTAGGAGAAAAATACTAATCCAGAAAATATATAAAGTATATATATTTTTTAATTTAAGGTGGTAGATACTTAATCACAGAAATATACATATACCCATTGCGTTTTACCATTAGAAGATACGTGTTAATTAGATAATGATAAAGAACTGCTGTAATGGTTGATATATTTATAAATGTTACTTTTGTGAAATTAAAATATTTTTTTTTATAGTTTTATGACTTTATTGCATCGTAGAGAATTGACGCAAGAAAATATTAAGTGACCTATTAATTAAAAATTTATCATATAAAATATGTTTAGATTCACGTATAGCTAATAACTTATAGTAACATTAATCTTCAATATTTTTTTTAAATAATCAAGTACATCTATTTAGATACTGATTCAAATAGAAGTAATAAAAAAGAACTATTTTTCAAGAAAATTTTTTTGCCGATATTCATCTATAAACTGAAATATTTATGTCCTTTGTGAGTTAAATAGTATTTTTTTGTATTCGCTTTCTTTCCAAAGTAGTAAAGTCCCGCAGTGGACTGATCGTTAAGACACGGTTCCCAGCAGACCACCGAAGTCAAGCATCACTGGCAGCGGTCAGTGTGCGGGTGGGTGATCACCTGGATCAGTCTGCGTAGGGACCGAGGGTGTGCGGTATCGGTCCTCGTTAAACTGTACTACCGTAGAGTGCTCGACTTCGCGTGCAGGTCGTCGGGCTACTGAAGCGGGGGTGCCATCCCCTCTGCAGAGGATCAAAATTGTGATGGCATGTCTTCGGATCATCCTCAGGGGTGTTTCCCAGACCGACGCCCATAGCCCATTGTGCAGCTCTAGTGCGACGTAAATGAACAACAACAACCAAAGTAGTAAAAATTGCACTGTACATTTAACACACGATATTATCTTTCACAGAAGTAAAATAATTTAACATTAAATTGTCTGTTCTGTTGATATAATTTTTCTCTTACAATTTGACATGAAGGACAAAAATGAATATCAAATAGCATGTATCAATATCAAGAAAGCGTGTATTAGTGTATGTTAGAATAAGTAATACAGTAATTGAATTTTAACAGTAGCTAATAGAAATTGGCGACGGTATTTGTACATATCTGTAGTTATATACTGATAGTTTTCGTACGTGTGAAACTATTTCCAGCTCCACAACATACAGGGAAAGGCTGAGGGATCGAGAAAGAAAAATAGATACTGTCTGTCTCTCAGAACAGCCACAGACATGGTGGTTGGCGATAAGTAGGATGGAGCCATTTCCAAAAATAAGAACAAAACAGAGAAATTTCTAATCTTGGGCGTTTGGAAACCGGAAAGTGATCTAGAATAGCAATATAATTTTCAGAGTTTGAAAGATTGCTAGATCTGAAGCATTGCGAAATTCTATTACGTGTTATTCTTGATCTCCTTTCATCCGTGAAGGTTGACATTGTCGATAACTACCATCCCGACACTTCGAATAAAATGGACTACTAAGTAGAACAATTACTTGTTTTAATCGATTACATAAAATATTGATGATATCGATTTACATTATTGAAAACTAATTATTTTGATTATTTATTAAAAATAGTTAATTTATTTATTTATACAAAATTTAATAACTCATAACGATTAATTTTATATGTATGTAATCGCAGTCACTGCTATTTGTCACTGTTACTCTTGAATCACAGTAGCAGAAGTGACAGTGACAAAAAAGTAGCAGTTTTTCCCACCTCTGGAAAATAATACAAAATAAAAAATATATATTTATTTTCAAATATCAATAATTTACAACGTAAATCAATGTGGTAGTTACGATTAATAGTAAAAAATGTTCATCCCGTGACGCGAGTTTCCCACCCCTGGTATAGAGGCTTTCTGATGTAGGAGATGATGAAAATATGATCAGTGGCAGATGGATCATGGATTACAGTCCCCTTGCCATCAGGTTAAACGTAGATAATGTATAAGAAATAATTAAAAAAATTACTTCAAATTCCCCTTGTCTGCAAATATGCATGTAATTAATTTTATTTAAAATTACTCTAAACTAGAGTTGATCACATTAAATAACACAATTTGTCTGAAATAATGCTTTTTACCTCTTGTAAAACTGGAACAAAATTTATAATATAGTTAACTGGGCAAAAAAGATGTTTTAAACAAAATAACTTGTACCTTCACTCATAAAAATTAGACAAGAAATTTGCTGTGTACTTTAAAAAAATTTAATTTTTATCAAGCATCAACATCTTAATGTTCTATAGTGAATTAAATCTATGTGATGCAATACTTATAAATATGTTTTATATTCAACAATTGTTCATACATAATAATACATGAAAATGATATAATTCTAATTTTTTTCTAAATATTCAGGAAATATGCTTTTCTATTATTATTATTTGTCATGCTATTATTAGCCATAATAATAATTAGCTATTATTTGTCATGTCCTTTGAAAACTTAAAATTTGTTTAAACCATTGTGTCATGTTTCTTTATGCAAAATCAATTAGCATACTTACCAAAATTTTGTTTTTGATAAAATCAATAAATAAATATGAGCAGTAACATTGATTATTTTTTGTTTGTTTGTTTCCTTTTTCCATAACAATTAAAGACTTGTTTTATTATTCTTTAAAAATGCATTTTTCACTTTAAATACTAAACATAATGTAATAACTGTTTTGGATAACATTTATCTTTTAATACTGTTACAGAATATATTTTTGTTATGTGGTCCAAGAGTGACCCCATGAGGTAGATCAAGATACATCAGCCACAGAATAATATGTTGTCTAACTGTTTGAGTTTTTTTTAAAAGAATATTATAAAAAAGTTCTGCAAAATAATTTTCAAGAAATCTTAAATAGTGAGAAGTATGCAATTTGTATTGCTGAGAAAACTTAAACTACATTTATTTTTAAACGAGACAAAGATGAAAAATGGATCAACTATCCAAACCATGTTTTCCCATACATATATAAAAAAAATTTCAAGGTCATTATGAACATCCTATATCTAAATCAATTGAAACATATAACATTAAATTATTTAAAATATTTTATTTTATACAATCTGATATATAAAAATGATAGCAAATGAAGGTAAAACAAATGATTTAATCATCAACTTCATCAGAAAAAGTATTTTCAAATTTTAACAAAGATTCTTTGCCTAGTAACTTGTCTTCAACTCCAGTAACATTAATGGCCATTAATGGATACATGGCAGTCTTTAAGCTGCGATACAAATTCGGAAACTGCACTTCTTGAGTTGCTAAAAGTTGTTTCACTCGATGACGCTCCTAAAGTTATATAAAATTACAGGAAAAAATTACAAAAATTTTAATATTATAATTACTTAAATATACAAATTATTTAGTTATTAATTTATTATAATTCCTATTTGAATTCTATATATTATTTATTATTCAATTTTAAAAATAATTTGATATAAATTATTATTATTAAGAACTAGCATATATTAAGTTTAAAATAACTAATAAATTAATATTCATTATATTACAGGGTGCGTAGCCAAATCTTTCAACAAAAAATAAGCACCTTTTAAGCACTTGAAAAACATTTTTAAGCACTATATACATTAAAATAATGCAAAATAAGGTTTAAAGACTTTAAATGATCATGAGAAAATAACTAGCTTCTGACAAAGAACTTGTTTCTTGATTATATTAGTCATTATAAAATGATGAAGAGATTTTTTGGTTCGATATCAGAGGGTGGAAAATGAAGTCTGAAATTGAGAGTATCTTGCAAAATGCAGCAGAATTGCATATAAGAAGGCAATAATCTCACCGAATCCAGCTCAGCAGACGCACATACGGACTCGCAAGTATTTCATCAAAGGTGTAAAATGATTGGCGCTTTCATACGCTATGGTCCGATGGTACGCCAAAGTGAATTATGAAAACGTTGAAAAGAACAATATGAAAAGCACGCTCTTGCATAATAAGTGGGGAAAATCGACACGGTAACAAGAAAAAAATCATTTTTGAAAAGGAAAAATTAAGCACTTCTTAAAAACACCCAATGAAAAAAGCACCTTTAAGAGCATTTAAATAATGAAAATAAGCACCTTTAAGCACTTTTTAAAAACATTACGCACCATGTATTATTATCATGCGCATAGTACAGAGCAGGATCCCTAATGAATTTTGATGAGAAATTTCCCCTCTCCTAGTTTAAAACTTAAAAAAATTTTAAAATATAAAAACAAAAACATTTGATCTTCATATTTGTTTGATTTTTTTAAATAATTTTGTTGTAAAATGATGTCATACACTTTTAATTTGGGTATTCATTTTTAGTAAATGGCAGTAGAATGCGAAATTATTTTAAAAATTAATTTTGCAAAAACTTGCATCACAAACCTATATTTTTCATGACCTAGATATTTTCTAAGATTGCATAGCAAAATGTTTAAAGAACGCTAAGTATTATTCAAAAAGAAAATAGTTTGAATTCCAATAGGATGATTTAAATGGTTGTTAGAAAATTCCATAATTTAGAAATTTTATTCAACTAAATCTCTTGATTTGGGAAAACTCTGGGAAGCTGATATAAATTGTTTATTAGAAACTAATCTGGAAAAAATTCAAACATCACTTTTTGTAGGTAACTTGAAAGTTGTGCATTTGAAGAATTTTTGACAGTTGTCAACCACACAGAAATATTTTTAAATAATAAACTATTTTGTTCAAATAAAATGATTATAAAATGTTAATCGAATTTAATAAACCAATAGAATGTTAAGCAATAGAATAAACTTTCAACAATAGACCTCTCTCATTAGACATCCAAAGGTATAAAATAGTATATTTTTTAGAGTACAAGAAAACTTAATGTAAACTGTAACAGCTGTAAAGTATGATATTTATAGAATGATTCTTTTTATCAGTTACTCTTTAAACAGCAAAATCCTTTTGAAATAAATTTAGTCTATTTATCATTTGGGGGCAGGATACTTTATTTATGGTGCACTAAAGCTGCATAATGGGCTTTTTGCAATGGTCTGGGAAACATATCTGAGGATGATCAATAAGCACATCATCATAATTTTGTTCTTCCGGAGATTTGGTGGTATGCAATTAACTATTTCTAATTCGATTAAAAATTTGAAACTAAGTAAATATGAAGATAATTATTTGTTTCTAAAAACATATTACAGCTAATAATATAACTTATAAGAAATTTATAACAGATAATTCAAGAATTTGTTCTTTATACATACATATGTATATAAAGTAAAATTTGTGTTTTTATTATAATAGAAAAAATAAAAACAAAAGGTACAAAACAAAGTTTAATTAAAAAAAATTCTGAGACAGCAAATTAAATATTAACTGAATTGTAATTTAAATGTAGGAATTTTTTTATAAAAGGAATTTTTTTATGAAAGGAATATTATTTAGTAATGTTCTAAATTTTAATAACATAAAACAATTTGAAATATTCTAACACTGTTTCAACATTGTTAGCTTATACTTACTTTTGGAGCTTCAAAGCAGGCTGGACAATTTTCTGGTATCACAGGCAATTTTTTCTGCAAGTTAAAAAGGAAATAAAAGAATTAAGAAATTGGGTCAATGCATTTATTTCAGGGTTAGAAAAAAATAGGATGAAACAAACAAAAAAAAAGCATGTTTTTCCAGAATAAACCTGATTTTTCTGTCTATTGCAAACAAAAGGCGAAAAAATATTTTAAGACCAAAATTAAATATAAACCATTAAAAAGAATTCCATGCAAACGTTTTATAATTAAAAAATAGTCACAATTTTTCCATAATTATTCTAACATGATTAAAAAGAATAATTACTGAAGATTTTCGATATGTTTAATACACTACAAGTCTAATTAATATACAGATTAAAAGTTAATATCTAAATGATATTTTTGCAATGCATTTAAAGTAGTGAATTTCTTGCTTAATAGTAAAAATGAAATTATCACACTTAAGTATTATTTACATTTATGTCATAAATTAGCCCTGTATAATAGCGTCAGTATCAATTAATTTTCATAAAATAATTTATTCTTGCTTTTTTTTATCTTTTGAATCAATTCAAAATATTTTTTTTATTCAAAAATAAAAGGAACATGCTGCATGAACTACATAAAAAATAGTAAAACTATATTTAGTACTTGAAAACGGGGCTCAAAAAACCACCCGTCCGCCCGTCCTTGGCGGTCAAAAATTCCCTGCGGACAACGAATTTCTCGAATCTGACGTCTGTGCGGACGGCCATTTTCCCGTTAATGTTGGTGATACATTTTCAATTTTTGTTATCTCTCAAGAGTCTAGCGCCTCACTCCTAAAATGACCCTCTAATCTAGAAATATATCAACATACTGAGCATGTTGAAATTGATGTTTTCTTTGTCTCTCGTACTGCAGCGGTTGAAAGGGACTTTTCAGCAATGAATTTACAAAAAAAAAAAACATTACCTACTGATCTTAAACAAGAAGCGTTAAACGCAATTATGAACATCTACCTAAATGGAAAACCCTTTTCAGAGCTTTGTGCAGTAACCTCTGTAAATCATTAGCTTGATTGTGGAACTGGCAAACGTCATATTTGATTCATTTAAAAAACGCAGTACCCTTGGATAAATTGACATTCCAGATAACTTGACATTTGCCATTTAAATTATTTCATAAAAGAAATAAATTATTTTATAAAAGAAATACTGGGTTCCTATTAGTAACCTAGTATTCCTTTTATTACTGTATAATGCAATCCTAGTATTTGTAATCCTAGTAACTACTAATTCATTGCGCAATTTATATAAATGCTTGTAATAAATAAGAGAAAATTATATTTTTATTTATTTAAAAGGGACGGGTCAGTTTCAAAGGAGGACGGGTACATTGTTGGACTAGCCGTCCTCGGGGACGGGTAAAAGTTTTGAGTTTTTTCGAGCCCTGCTTGAAAATATTGTTTAGTTTTTGATTTTAAAATAAATATAGAATAAAATCCTTTTTTTTTAGTCATTTATTTTAGCAGAATAAAGCATTAAGTATAACATTAGACTTATTGTCAAAAGTTCTTCAACATTCAATAAAATGCTCATAAAAATAAAATAAAATACTAATAACATATTTTTTTATTTTGAAATGAATTTTTAAATTTTACTATAATGATAAAAACATACTGTATATATACAAAAGAAATATGTTTACATTCATAACAGAAAAAATTAAAATAAACTAACAAAACTCAAAAACTTTATTTATAAACTAACGAACTTAACTTACAAAATAAAAAAAACAAACAAAATTAAAAAATAAATAAATAAATTATTCAGATAAATGCTTTTAAGTCTTACGTGCATAATGTTAGAAAAAATTCTAATTGCATTAATTATTTTATTCAAGTAATTTTACAAACTACCAGAACATGATGTTGGTCACAGTATATTTTATTTTAAGCATTTTTTTTAAAGATGTTATGACTTATTTGCATGCATTAGTTTATTTTACATAGATATTTTTACAGTCAGTTATATGCTGTTATGCTTTACAGTTTTATATGCTGGGCTGCCAACTGCTACAATTTTAGCAAATATTTTATAGAGTGATAGACAATATAAACAAAGCTTTCAGAATTTTATTGATTTTGCCAACATAGTAAAAAGTTACCAAGAGAAAAAAGGAAACAAATAAGTTTTTTTAATGCAGTCAAACCCCGCTATAGTGAACCTTCAAGGGACCGAAATTTTGGTTCACTATATCCGTTACGCAGGCAATTTAACTAATGGTTCCCAAACTCCTCCTTTTTATTACACGTTATTTAAATAAATGACTGAAAAATATTATTTAGTAGCGAAAAATGTGTTATTTTTCTTTACCCTTCGTCTTGCTTACTAAAAAAAAAAAAAAAAAAAAAAAAAATTAGTAATCTTTAGTTGATGAGCAATCCTGACAGGAAATGCATATTGATCCCACTGACACCTTACAGGTGCATTATCTGCCAGGAGGGTTGGAAATATCTGCTTGGTTTGTTTAGGGATGGGAAAGTGAGATAAAAGAAGCTTATCACTAAATTCCCCTCTATAGATTGTTTCAAAAATCGGTACATGTATTTATTTTAAAGTAAAAATTTCAAAATTATTACAAAAAAAATGAGGAAAAAAATCAATTGAAGACAGAAAAAAGTTCATTATATCCAACTTCCTCACTTTTTTGGTTCACTATATCCACAAAAAATAACATTATACGTGTATAGCAAGGCAAGGGACCTAACATTTTGTTCACAATATCCGGGAGTTCACTATAAACTGTATTCACTATAGCGGGGTTTGACTGTATAAACTTTTGAATCCTTTACAAGTAGTGATGTAAAACATAAATTTAGCTACCAGTAGAAGAAATTTTCTAGAGGTAGTTCTTATATTTACAATGATATGCAGGGCTGTCTACCACTAGGTCTTTTGCAAAATATTTTATAGAGCAGTAGACAATAAAAAAAAGCTTTCAGAATTTGGTTGATTTTGCCATAATTCTGAAAAGTTCACCAAGAAAAAATGCAAACGAAGTAGCTTTTTATATGAACTTTCAAAATCTTTACATGCAGTAGTGTAGAAAATAACTTTTAATAAAATTTACAAAACAAAGAATAATACATTAAATTATAAACTAAGCTACCACTTAAATATACTTTTTAAATAACTATAGAAAGTCAACAACCCTGAATATGTAAACCTTGAAAAATGACATATTTGTGTTTGCTTTCGATAAATGCAATTTAATAAAATTGCTAATAACTTAAAATAAAAAGCTTTCAGAAAATTAAATAAACAGAAAAGCTTCTTTTTATACCAAGAAAAAAAAAACAAGTCTGGTTTAAAAAAAAAAGATTACTATGAACAACAGTTTAAACCAATCGGATAAACCAGTCAACTATTTTATTTTTTAAAAAGGAAATAAAACGAAAAAGAAAAATTTTAACGAAACATTGTACGTGAATTCAGGTTTCATGACATGAAAAATTATTTAATAATAATTTGAAACATTTTTTTAAAGAAAATATCATTGATCAACTAGGGATTTAGCTTCTTAAAAGAATTTTGATTTATTAAGTTATAAATGGGTTTTTGTTTTCTCTTTCTTTTAAATATATATATATATATATATATTATAATTTAATATTTAAGAGTAAATGAATGAATGTCTTTTTTCTTATTAAAGAAAAATAAAGATTTTACTTAAACATGGAAATGTTTTTTAATGCAATAATTATTTTTGGGAATAAAATAAGAAATACATTAATTTTTTCACCAATGCAAGGCAGGATAGACGAAAATATTTGCTATGAAATTTAAGGAAGCACAAGCCATCCCTTTCTCACCATAGACAATAACATTCATTTATTAAATGCATAAAAATAGAATAGAATATGTTTTAGAGCTTGCTCGCATCAGAAAACCAATATTGAAATAAAAATTACCGTAATTTATGGAAGAAACGCCGCACCTATCGTAATGAGACTTAAAAGAAAAAAAATCATGGTAAACGCCGCACATGTTGTAGACGCCGCACCCATAATAACGATTTAGCGGCAAAAGTGAATATGTAACATTAATTCCTTATAAATACTACTAATGTTTTAAATTAAAATATAAATTAAAATTTATAAATGTATAATTATAATAAAATTAATAATGTAATCTGCTATTGTATATTTTGGACAAACTGCTCAGAACAACATGTTACAATCGGCTGTTGGTGCCATCGTTAGGAAAAAATTTAAATAACTATATTTATATTACTTTAATATAAATGATTTTTTTTACATTACAGTATAGGACCCAAAATTCGACACTCACGGGACCGATGAAATTCCGTATTTCGGAATTTGCAGAATTTTGGATCTCATCCGGAAATTCCAATATGGCGCCCGTATATTACGATAATTCAATTACGCTGTTAATTTCAGAAGAACCAATTTAGCTAAGTTTCAATTGTAGATTTTGATGGGGTGAATTTAAAACTGTCCCATCTTTATAAATTTCATTAATTAAAATGTTTCAGTTGAATAATCTATATGATATAATCAAGAAGAAATAATCCGAAGGATAAATAATTCAAGATGAAATAATCCGAAAAAGAAATAATCGTTTCTTCTTCAGAGCGAGATCATTGTTCTCGTTGTTTCTTTTACATAACATTTTGTTTTAACAAAAGATGCTCACCTCGGAAAAAAAAAAGCTAACAAGGAACTACAAAAAAAGTAACAATTAATGGAAAGAACCTAACAATGAATAACTACAAAAAAGAAGCAAACAACTAATAACGATAAAAAAAACCAAGTTAACAAGTGTAGCAAAAAAAGTAACAGTTAATAAGCAATAAAAGGATAAATAAATCGAATTTAAAAAAAAAGCAGCAAAAAGGGATAGAATTCATTTTGTACACCAAGTGAGAAAGAAGTTTCAATGTCAAAAGGGTGCGGCTAATTTATAGTCAAACAGAAGAGGGAAATGTGGGGGGACAAACCAATAAAGCACTTGCAGAGCTGTCAAGATTGATTCATCAGTTTTTCCCAACTTGCATTTCTTTATTTTGTTCATTGGAAATGCAGATGTTTTTACTTTTCAATTTCAGTTTATTTTAAACTGCTTTAGGAACAGATGTTTTGTTTGACACAGATTTATTATTTTTTCTCTTCATGTTTTTATTTTTAAAAGATAAAATATAGTTACTTCCTTCAAGAGAAAAAAATTCCAAATAAAAAGAAATATTATTTATTTTTTTTCCCTCTTATCATTAAAATTTCTTTAAAAAAAAAAAAAAAAAAAAATTTGGTCGGATTAAGTGCCGAATTTCGGATTCCATACTGTACTACATATTTATATTTTATAAATATTTTTTTAAATTTAATTTATTTATTTTTTGGAAATATACCTCTTTTTATTTAAATAAGAAGATATCAGTTTATAAGTCGCGTCCATAACAACGATGTATAAATATTAACAAATACTAAAAAGAAAACTTTCCGCAATTTAATTTCTCCATAAAGCACGTTGTAACAAAGTGAGAAAAAATGTGAAAGAGCTATCAACCACGCGGTTTGGTGGGAACTAGATCGAGATCAACCCACTTTCTTTAAGGGGTATTTGGTTATCAATAGTGGCGCCATCTTTTGCCATAATTCGCAACGATTTTGATTAAAAAAAATTTTTTTTTGAAAAATTTAAAATTTTTTTTTAAAATATCGTAAACGCCGCAATTAAAATTTTAAAACTCGTAAGCGCCGCGACCTTTCTTCCATAAATTACGGTATATGGAATTACAATTATATTTAAACAAAATGTAAGTTTAGTTTTAAAACAAGATAATTAAACTAACCGTGCCGGTTAAAAGTTTTTGCTGAAAACATAAAATCTTTAAGCAAAAACTATATCCTAAACATTATAAAAACTAAACTATGAAAAAATTAACAATATTAATTAGTTCAAATATATGAACAAAGTCCTACACATTTATACCAATATATTATATTCTTACTTATAGGTTTCATTATATAAATGTAATATATACCTGTTCTGCAAATCTTCGAAGATCCTTTTCTCGGACAAAAACAAGTGGTCTAATAATTCTTAAAGATGAGGATCTACAAGATATATGAAAAAAGTATTAAAAACACAATTAGTGTAGAATGCTAAATAAATAAGAAAAATAATTAATCTTTTGTTTACAACAGACATGATTAACAACTTTCGGAGCCTTTTAATAATAAATGGGTAATAATACTTGGTCTCCATTTTAATCTTAATAGCAAATTTTTTTTTACAGATTTAGTGTAATTTTTTATGGAAATGAAGCAAATTTAGAATTCATACACATGATTTTTTTAAAAATTAAAATCCAATATTAAAAAAAAAAGCATATGCAGAAACACATTTAGTTTTTGCGAGCAGAATATGCCAGATAAATATGATTAGCACAGATGCTAACTGCTTTTTCTGAAGGAAAAAAAACTGAGTTTTAAGTATACACATACCCTCTAACATTTGATGTTTGTGCAAATTTTTTTTTCCAGTGATGATAAATTAAAGAAGAGAAATTTTTAACAAACAAAATTTTTATCAGAATTATCAGTCTTTATGATCTCTTTTTAACGTATTTGTATGAAGTGCTGGAAAAAACTCTCTTTGCTTATCTTAACTAACCGTTGGAATCTATAGAAAGTGAAACTATAAAAATTCTGTCATAGCTGGAGGGTTTATAGAAAGTATTAGGTTTTGAGTGTCATATATATATTATTTATGGAGCAGTTAGTAGATTTTGCATTTAAGTTATTCATATCACATTGGTTTATTTTAAAATAATAGTCACTAACCCTTTCAAAACAATTTTATTACAGCTTTTAAAGCATAAAATTTTATTCTTTATTTACTAATAAAATTTTAAATCAAAATGTTGAACAATAAGAGCCTTTAGTTAGTAGGTTCATAGTCTATAAAGTCAAATCAGAGTGGTGTGTTCCAACCACAACAAAAAGTCGAAGTTAGTACCTTCTTTAAACAGAAAATCATTTATTATTTTATAAAATTACCAATTTGAGAAAGAATAGATGAATAATTTCAATGAGAAATGTTAAAGTCATGTCAGCTTTGCTGTACATAGAGAGTCCTAATTTTCAAAATGTATTCTTCTAGAATTTCCTATCATTGCTAATGTTAAAAAGCTTACTTTAAATTCAAAATAATTTTTCTGTTAATCAGTTAATGTTCAGAAAAACCAAACAATTTTCAACATCTTAAAGTAAAATTTCTTAAGTAGACAGATGAAGTAAGATGCATTTATTATAGGAAAGGTGATAAAGGGGTTCTGGGTAACAAATTAATAAGAGGGACAATGGGGATAAATATTAGATGAAGTTTTACATTCATTTTAGCATTTATCAGCATATTTCTTACTGAATCATTGCAAAACAGTAGCAATTTTTTGTTTTACACATCATAAAAGCTTATGTTTAAACATCGAATAATAAGATAAAACTTTCATCCAATACTACATAATACACTATATCAAATAGCAGAATATGGAATAGCTGGACCTTGAATATTGAAAATTTTGAAACAGCAAACTAAAGAAAGAAACAAATGACCAAATATGTTTCATTCATTTTAAAATACAAAAAGAACAAGGCAAGTGCTCGGTCATTGACATCTACATAATGACATTACTAATGAAATTAAATATTTCAACTGTAATATTTATTCCTTATTAATTACATTGATTTAGCAAAGTTTCATTTTATGTCTTTTAATGTTAGTTGTTTAACAATGCATTCTTTTTTATCATTAATAATTTATGTTTCCTTTTGAGTTTTACTGAAGAATGCTTCTTTGCATAGCATACTGTTGTGTAACTACACTGTTCAATATGGTTTATGAAAAAAAGCAAGATTGACATTGTATTTCTATGAAAAAAGACCAAAGAATCATATTAGAATTCCTCAGAAAATAGTATTCTGGAAAACTCTTAAAACATCACCATCATAATGTTTTGCTAACATAATAAATAAAGTATTTTTATACATTTTGTTTATAATATAAAACTGTATCAGGTGTAAAAAAATAAACACCCACCATTGCAAAGAAAATTATAAGAATGAAAATAAGATGTTTTCAATTCTCATATTTCAATTTGACTCAGTAAATTGAACTAAGAGAATTTCCCAAATTAAATATGTTTTATTTAACAAAACTTATTTTATAGCTTATCTAATAATTATTTAACACTCTTATGATAGAGTATTAAATAATTCTTAATATCCTAACTTCTTTAACAAATAGCTAAATTTATAATGATGGTATGATATTGACTTTAGGCTACAGCACATTTATAATTCATAGTTTTAAAGAAAACCAAAGATAATCCTATTGTTAAGATATGGAAAAAATGTTTTTTTATCCCCATTCAATTAGCAAAAGACATAATAATTAAATAGTGTCATGATTAGTGTGTATGACTTTTTAAAACAGGGTATGCAATTAATTACACTACACAGTGTGCGTAGTACTGAAATGAATTTCTAGAAGAAAAAAAAACAGTTAGTGACTGGCAGGCAGAAATTTTTTCATTCTACATAATTGTGACAAAATATTAACCCTTTTGAATAAAGCATATAGCATTATTGTGATATTTATATGTAACCAGTATTAATATGAGGTCTAAAACCAATAAAAAATTTTCCATTTAAAATTAATTCACAAATGAAACTACTAAGTTTAAAATCTGGAAAAACAACTTACTTATCTGTATAATGAGCTTTCATAGTTCTCAAACGACCATTATGGAAAACTGACATTAAGAAGCTAAAAAGAAGACAATCAATAAGTTACCTCGTAAAGGTGTATAACATATACAATTTAGCATACTTTAATGATAAAAAATAAAGCACATTCAGAATTGCATTAGGAAATATTATTTGGTGGGAAATTATTGATTTGAAAAATTAATAACACCTATTTACCATTTTTGAGCATAAATAAATCTGTCATCTAGACAAATGTATAAAATGAGGGAGCGATGCTGAAGCGAGAAATGATTCTTAAGCTTCAACTGTTCAATTGCATTGATTAAGAGATTTTTTTGTCCTAATATTATTAGAGAATACAATAATATTTAAAATTATTTACTTTAAGTTTTATTTATTTATTTATTTTTTTCTAAATTATGACTGTCTTTGTGAGAATGATTTATAAGATCGTTCAGATTTCATGGTCATTAATCTGTATCACACAATATAAACTAAATAAAATATTTTGTATAATATACTTTAAAAAAATACTGTTTCATAAACTCAAAACTAATGAACAGAATTTATTATTTTTTCAGCAAATTAACAATTTTTATAGATAATTGTAGCTATAATGTGAAACATAAAGCTATGTTTGCTCAATGACATATAAATACTTTTAAAATCTTTTTTAATTATTGTAACATTATTTAAATATGTTATAATCACACATGGATTAATTTAGTATTCAAAGCAATTAATTGTTATCAGTTTTATTAATTACTGTAAGTGATTAATCAAATTTTTAATCAAAGTGGTATGTTTCAAGAAGAATCTATTAAACTCAGAAGAATGATAAATAATTATGAATAAAACCTGATATAAACTATGTACTATGTAATTAAAAAAATTTCCACCCTTTTAAATGAATTGTTAAACAAAAAAAGTTTCATTTAAAATTGTTTTATATACAAGCCTGTATAATAAATATTTAAAAAAAATAAATAAATAAAAAAAAAATTTTATCTCTCAAGAATTTGAACAAGCAAAAAGTAAATAAATATATAAATAAAAATCAACAAAAATTAGCAGTGATATTATAATAGTATCACTACTATATAAGTTATTCTAAAATACTTCTAGAATATTAGTAATTCCAAAAATGTCATATATTCTCAAAGATCTTTTGAGAAAAATTATGTATCTATTCTGAGGAAGGTACCATTTCTTTTAATAGGTATGCATTAGATAAAGGTATTACTTGAGAACAATAATGAACCATACATAAATAAAACATGATGAACCAAATAAAATTTTGTTATTGTGAGTAAAAAACTATTAAATATGTAAGTTTCAAATTACTGGTAAGACATGAGCCATAATGGCTTAAATAAGTAGATTTCAAAGTAATTAAACAATTTTAAATTATCTCTCCTCTAAAAAAATTAATATATTTCAATGTTCCATTATTATTGAATGCATTTTCAAACATGTTTTCTTATACATTTATATTTCAGTAAAAAAAATCTGCACTTTAGGCTGGCTGTAATTTATAATGCAAACTGAAGAATGTGTATGTGTTTTGTTTCTGACAACAAAAAAGGAAGACTAATTTTAAGATCATAACTGATCAATAATTGGCTATGAATGATGACATAATCAATCAATTCTCCCTATAAGGATTATTTCGTGGTCTCATGCAAATCCTTCTGCATTCCTGCATACTGCCTCCCTAACATTGCCTCATAATTTTAATTTTCTTTTTTCAAAATTAAGTCTTGTGTCTCTCTTACGCTGCCCACTGCTGTTGTACATTGCATATATATTTTGTACATTGTATATATATATATTTTATTGGCCTATTTTTGACTATCTTTTTGCACAAATTTTCCAGTTTGCTGGTTGCTTATGAAAAATTAAAAAAAGTTCAGAATTTCCTAGAAGACTTAAACACATTTTCAATAGTTTACATATGAAGTACAGAGAAGAACACAAAAACATAATGTGCTACTTTCATAAGATTAACAATTAAATGAATTCATATTTCTTTCAAAAATATATTAAGATTATTTAATGTAAAAATAACTAACTACAAAAATAATTATATTAAAATAGACTTTTTAAAAAAGAATTTACATATTGGAAGTTCTAGTATGAAACATGCAAAGTAGTTGAGGGACTTAAACACTAAACACAGTCAAATAAACACTATAAGATTGCAAGGAGGAAAATGGTTATAAAAAATATCTGGTACCTTTCAGATAAGTCATCTAAGTGTTGACCAAGGGCAATAGCATTATAACCATTTTTATGAGCACATGCATAAATTCTGCCTCTTTTTAATCTGCTACAAAAGCTGCATATGGAAGTACATTTATCAAGGCTTGCAGCTTGGCTTATTATATCTAAAAAATAAATGTAATCAGTTAGAAACAAAACATAAAACAATGAACTGTTTAATAAAATATAAACTATGACAACCTTGTTCTTCATAAAAGTAAGGTATATTAAGAGCTTTCATATATGGTATAAGAGGACTAGGGTCATATAATGGACTCTTGGGATCCACAGTCATGGCACCTATTTCAAACTGTACACCCTGCAATGAAAATATATTTAAGCATAACATTTCATTTGCAAATCTAATTTTACAAAATTCAACGAGTTAATACCTTTTTACGAGAATAATACTGATACTGATGAAGAGTATGCAGTAGAGATAATGAGTCTTTACCACCAGATACGCACACTAAAACTTTATCGCCATCTTTGATCATGTCAAATATGCCAACAGCCTAAAAATACAAATACTATGATTTAAAAAAGAAATGTTAATTAATAAAATGCAAGATGATCAACAAGAACAATAAATCACATGTTTAAATATGATAATTTCAGTGCTGTAACAACGATATGAATTAATCTATTAGAAGTGGTAGCAAAAATGTTTATAGAATGAAATTAGATGAAGCTAATTATAATACTTTTAGATATTGCAATACTAAAACTTTGTACAGTTGTGTTTCATATTTCTATCATACAATGATATAATCTTAACTTAGTTTTTCAAATTCTAGTCCATACCTTTTTATCAATAACAATAGCACAAATTATTAATAAAGTAAAATAAAAAGAACAACAGATATTTATTGCAAATTTCAATATGATAATGCATTTAAACAAGTTTTTGCTTGAATACAAATTAAAAATATACAGTTAGAAATCTCATAATGAAAGGAGAAAATTTAAGAAAATTGAATAATGTATTTTTTTCTATTATTTATGCTTTTATCATGCTTTTGTTTCTTCCAATTTAAATTATAATCTGGAAAATAAATCTAGATTATATATAAATTCAATCTAAAATATTTCAATCTACTTCATTCAGATTAAAAACAAGCCAATATTACATTTAAATTACAATGTATCTAAAATACTAAGGAGATACCTTATCAGAAAATAATTTGATCTAGATGGTCAAATGTAAAATTTAAGTATTATTGATGCAAAATACCTAAGTGTCATAATGCCATTTTCTTCCAACATAAAAATTGAACTGGCAAGATAAAAATTAGTAACTGTATTAATAAAATAATTTAATGATATAATTATTATAAAAATTTAATTTATATATAATCTAAGCAAATAAGCTTTCAAAATAAATGTTTTAATTTTCTTATCAATTAATTCGTAATATAAATTTTTAAAAAAAATATGTGTTAAATTATTAGGATAAAGGATTAAAAGCACTATGGCTTAAGATCATTTTTCTAAAGCAGATACAGGTGAAACCAGAAAAAGTTTATCACTCATGATATATATTCAATTTTCGAAAATCAGTAAAATAGCACTTGATAATAAAATATATCTGGTCTTAAAATAATAATTTTTATAAATTATGAATTAATTAGAGCTGTTAAAAATTTTTTTCTTCTGTTAAATCATCTTCTAAACTCTTTTATCAACTTCCATTTCATCTTAATAGTTTCTGTTTTCATAACTAGAAAAATAAATTCTTCTCTAGATGTAAATGCAAATCATATTTTCCACTAAGCAAAAATAACAATTTACTCAATATGTGAATTATTTATGGGGTTAGACTTAGGTTACATTTTCATTAGGCAAACACAAATTACAATATGCAGTGATACCAGATGCTCTGCTTTCTCCAAAAATATAATAAAGTGGTAAAAATCTGAAGACCTGCAGAGTTTAGGCTAATCTTGGCAACATGCTAGAAGGTTCAACACAAAATAAGTGAAAAAAAGTGAAATTTTACATCTCTAATACCAACTTATCATCTAATACCAACTAATGGATTTTTATAGATAATTTATAAGTAGTGGGAGGCAAAAAAACTTTACATCAATTTACTAAAACATGAATCATACTTAAAAACATAAATTTTGCTTTAGAAAAAAAAATCCATAAAGTTTAATAAGTTGGTATTTCTGAATACGTTTTTCAATAGAGAAATTTCTTAAATTTTTTTTTTTTACAAATGTGCCTAAATAATTTGTGAGATAAAGAGTTGAAACTATGATAAAAACGATTATCATAGTTTCAACATTTCAACAATTAACATATTACAGAAAAATTACTTTCATATAAGTATAGTTGCACCAATTAAATAGCTAACACATTTGATTATATTATGTAGTTTAATTCCTGATAGAAAATACAGCAAAAATATGAGAAATCCCTAAATGAGCTTTTAATTTTGTAATATTATATTGATTCATTCACAAATACAGTTATTTTAAGAGTATTTTTGTGAACAGATGGCAATTTTCATGAAAAATTAAAAGTAGTTTTTCGATAAAGTAGAAAAAAATATAAATATGAGACTCTATTCTTATTACACATTCAAGCTGTTTTTACACATTTAGTATAATTCCGTAAAATAAAATTATTGAAATTACTGAAAAGTAAAACCAATAAAAGATAATAAAAACAAAAAACTTACTTTTAAAAAGGGTTTGAAAATTGCAGTGGGTGGAGAATACCATTTACATTTTCTAGAATTTAAAATATTATTTTGATTTAAATTTGAAGACTTTGCTATAAAACATGATAAGCTACAACTATTGTTATTATGTTCTAATTCACTTTGTGAAATACAACTTCTTTCTTCAGTTCTTAAGCAACTATTGAAGTTACAATTTTCATCCTGTTCATTTAAATGATCACAGTTATTGTTTATTTTATTAACATCTAAAGTTTCTTTTTGAAGAACTTTTGCAGTGTTTCTCACAACAAACACAGGTTTTTTAATATGTTTCATAATTTCTCCAATCATATACTGTTTTGCTTCACTGGGCAACAAAAACCATTTCAAACTTGAGGACTCAGAATCAAACATTAACTGCTGGTCAGGTGTGAACTTTCTAGAGGCTTCCTAGAATAATACAATTTCTGTTTAAGAATATTATAGTAATACCTTTTAAATACAAACAAGCATTAGAAGATGTTTTTTTAAATTTCCAATGGCACATAAAAAGACAATTGAATATTAGAAAGAAAACAATAAATCTGTAAATGAGAGCAAGTAGTCCAGAAGCGTTCTAAGATTGATGTCCGATGAAGAGCAGGGAATCCAAATAGGTGAGAAAAGTCCATCTCTTTGTGGAGATCACACAAGATACAAAAAAGGATCAGAATCATGCTGATGTGACATAGATATTCATTCAGGAAATTGTGTCCATATATCAGACGAAACATGGAAACAGATTTCATCTCAGGCCACTGAGGGACATTGAGAATCTGTTTAAGATATGGTTTATTGGAATTGGGATTTTTGAGTTCTTTGTAAAAAGAGTCCCTGCAGATGTTTTTTACTAGACATTTTATTAAAAGAAAGTGTGGAATTAGATCTCAGGAGGACAGAAGCCTCCTGCAATGAAATATAAACTGATAAAATCACAAGGTATAATAAATATAGTGATTTATTAAAATCGATGTCAATGAATTTAAAATAATATGTTGTGTATTTATAATGTCATATCTTAGAGGCTGTTATTTAAAAATTGTAGAACTCTTAATTCAGCCTTTTAAAGTGAGGAGGTATGACTGACTTAAAGATCAATTATCTCAAGACTTAATTTTTGTGTTTACCTATTTAATTACAAATAAAATTCTTTAAAAAATGCTGATAAATGCTTCTAACATAATAAATATACCATACAAATTATTAATAAAATGAAAAAATTTAATCATTGTATCAATTGTGAAGGAAAAAATAAAAAGAACTTAATAAAAACATAAATTTACATTGGAAATACAAAGGGATTTGTTTAACATTAAAATCAAGTCTTAAATGGAACAAATTTGTAATGAGCTGAATATTTTTTAGTTAATTTTATTACACGTACCTAACACATTATTAAACTTCAAATAAACTTATTCAGTTAATTGAAAGTAAATTTATATATTACATAACTTAAAATAAATCGAGCCATTTCAAACAATTTTTAGATAAGACACATTCATTGACTTTTGAAAACAGTCAAATTGCTCCATAACAATTTTGGAATTCCGTTCTTTAAGGGAAAACTTGGTAGCTAAAAATATAAGTATTTAGGTAGCTAGTTTGGATATTAATAGCATTTAGCTTAAACATGAATTTAAAGTGAGTCAAAATAGGTAATTAAATAACAAAAAAAGTTATTTTAAAAAAACAGTAAGACAGAACCATTAATTTTTACCTAATCATTCATATTAGAATTTTTTTTTTACCTCAATTACTTTTTACTGAAATAGTATAAATTCAAATGATAATACTTACCCCAACAGCATTTTCAAATACAGTGGATGCATCAGCTAATAGTTCCTAGAAATTATTTCAGAGTCAATCACACTTGTAAGTAAAAAGAATGAATACAACAAAAAAATTTAGTGTACTAAAAATAATAATTTCTGAAGAACAGCTGTTAAAAATTCTCTAAAAATAAATATTGTAGAATAACAACTGATGAAATGTCTTTCAGAAAATTTTAAAAAATATATATATATAAATAAATATAACTGCCCAGCATAATTTGGATTGTGTCATATTTAAATAAATACTGCTATAATTTTAGATTAACTTTCTTTTACAGCGAACTTTTAAATGAATTTATTTTAATCTTTTCAACTAATTTTTAAGATATATCTCATGCTTTTTTCACATATTCTTAATGATGAGATAAGTAAACTGTAGGTAAATAAAACCATTCTGTTCAAGTATGACTTTCCGAATATCTGGAATGATTAAAAAAAACTTAAAATAAAACTATATTACACATATGACTATCAACAACTACAGCTTTTTCAAATACAGTAGCCACATCAAGTTTCCAAAATTATTTCATACTCGATCAATATTTAAGTCAAATAAATAAATAGATTGTACTAAATAATTTCCACAAAATAGCTTTAAAAAGACCTCTAAAATTAAAAATTACAGAATAATAACAGATAATACTGGGTAGTGAAGCAATGAATATTACTTTCTTGTTACACTTGAGCTAATTCTACGTAGAAAAATGCTGAGATTAGGACTGGGCTATAAATCTATATATCGCGACATATCGATTTAACGCCTGTATCAGCAGGCCGAGACAGCGACTTTCGTTCCAGGAGAAGCATCAGAAATCTGATTTAAGCCGTCGAGTAAAGAAGACGTACGATATAGCGATATAAGATACGCAAAGATCTCTTACGTTTCGATGCCAACTCGCGCTGAGGAAGACGATGTTCGTATCGTTATATTGAAATGGCCTTGATTGATGAGCGGTAGAATCAGAATCAGTTTTGAGAATATATATCGTGATCTCGCATGTTCATTTCCGCACCTCTTAGTTTTTTTCTTCTTTGTCGCGACTTGATATTGTTTCTTGTAGATTATTTTCAGTGGGACTGACTTTGTGATCACCGTCGTTACCTTGTTCTGAACGTAATCTATTATTGAAAAGAATATATAAAGTGTTTCTTAATTAATTAGGTAAATTTTTTTTGAAACAAAACTTTATTTTTTATTTTTAAATGAGAAAATAAATTTTGATATTATATGTTTAAGTATTATTTTACATTATTGAATTTATTACAAACGGAAATCTAATTTGAGGTGCCCATAAAGAATTAAATTAATAAGTAATTAAATTTGTTAGGCTATTTTTTACTTTATTAAAAACTTTTTGGATAAAATAATAATTTAATGGGTTTTTATTACTGATTTTAAATTTATAAATCTTTAGTTGTTTTCATTTTTATAAATAAAATTATAACAAAACTTATTTTTCCTCTTTTGGATTTGGACATAAGTCAATCAACTTTGTTTATTCAAAAAAATTAGTAATGTTTGCGATTGCGACTTCTTTTTTTAAAATCATTTAGCACTTCGTTTTATTAAAGAGTATAATCGTGTTTTTTAATTTTCTTTCAATATTGTCAGTTGAATATATTATCGAATATCATAATTCTTTTGTTTTTATTTTTAAGAAATTAAACCTTACTTTGTTTTTTCGTTCAGAATTCGGTAATTATTCAATTTAACTTTATTATTTATGTGAAATAATAATGATAAAAAATAGTGTTGTTTTAAAAGTTTTTTTTTTTGTTTAATTTATTTAGCACTTTGTTTTAAGCATACAAATAATTTTTAACGAACTTATTTTTTAAATTTTCTTTCTATATTGTTAGGTAAATATATTGATAAATTTCAATTGTATTTATTTTTTTATTATTTATTTTTAAACTAAGAAATCTTTCGCTATTTGCGAAAATCATTTTTAGAAAATATAACATTAATATCGTTCTTAAGCAAAACATATACATCAAATTCATAAATTGATTTAAATCAATCTGAGTATGAAGTTTTGACAGAAATTCGACTTTCTGGGCCTTACAAGTAAATGAATTTCAAAAATACTATATCGCAATACATCGCTATATCGAGATGCAAAACTGACGATTTCTGACGATATATAAAATTTCTTATATCGCCCAGTCCCAGCTGAATATTATTGTTTCAAAAATAAGATTCAATAAGCAGATATGAAATTGGAAAAAAGAAGAAAAAATATGTTTAAAATAAATTAAAACAATTTCCTAAATTTATAAACTGTCATGTTATGTAGTTAGATATTATTTAAATTTTAAAATAAAACTTTTAACAAAAAATTAAACTATCACTAATAAAATATATATTTACTTAGACATTAAATAATATTACATAAAAAAATCAAGAAAGCAAAGAAGGGTGTACAAAATTGTTAAATATCAAAATAAACTGTGCTATAAAATCTAAAAAAAGGCATAAATTTGAAATTAGAGTGGATGTTAAACAAGATACTATAAAAAATATTACTGAATGACTAGGAATCTTCATATTTTCAAAAGTTTCATTTTTCACATTGAAGTGCCCAGCCTTATAAGATATAGATCCTAGCCACTTTCTACTAAGAAACACCTAAAAAAATTTATATGCATAGCATTACACAGTTCATACAGGAAAAAAGATTAGAAAACTTTGACATAATGTATTCTAGGTTGTAATTTCTTTTTAAATGATGACTACATGTTTATCTCTAGTAAAAGAAAGAGATAATATGTATAACAAGCATTTCAGAGAGACACATAATAAATTAAGAAATACAAATTATGTACAATTAGAGTTGAAATTTGTTAATCCTGACAAATTTTCCCTTTCTTTATTTTAACACTCTTTTCCATATTATCGATTATTTTATACTGAAATAAGTTACAATTACAATGATCAAGAACTTGTCAGAATTATATTTTACCATTAGCAGTATATATAAATAATAAAATGCAAATGAATATAAAACTTAAGCATATCTTAATCATGCACAAGAGATTATAGTAGCTTCAGGAAGTTTAAGTAGTTATATGTACACACAAGTAATTAAAAAAAAATTAGACTAACATTTTAGATTTATAATGTTGTTAGTTTAAAGGAATTTTAGGCTAAGAATCAATTTAAATATTTTTAATATTAAACAAAATTTTAATACTAGAAAATTACTTTTTGAAAATAATATGCTAAATTAAATGCTATTATGCATGCCTTTTTCTGCAATTACAATTTCATTAAACAAATTTGGCCAATTAAAAGCAACAGGATATGTGAGTCTGGGTGCTGAGAGTTGGGCATGCAAATTTAGTACTAATAATACAAATGGCAATAAGAAAAACACATAGTGCTGAATAACTTTTGATGTAATAATATGGTTTCCACAAATAACTTAAAAAATAAATTTTAAAAAATTTTGTTGTAAACTACAGAGAATATGAATGATGTTAAAAATATTTCTAATTTAAAATAAAAATGAACTCAAACTTTTTGAATTATATGTGAGAATTTTGAAATAAAAAAGAAACTATAGTGTATTAAAAAAATAAAGAGTAACCAGAGAAATTTAAACTGCATACTGAACTATGTACAGATCTAAAAGCTAACTCACAAATTTCAGACACAATATTTAAATTTCAAAAATATGATTGAAAAAATATCTATAGCCTGCGTAGCAAAAATGACTTACAACATATTCAAAATGTAAACTTAATTTTGTCATCCTATTTTTAATTTTCATTGTTTTTATAAACACATGAAAAAAAGAGAAACTATTCAATTTATCTAGATTAAATAAAAAAGCTTAATGCAAAATAATTAAAATAATAATTTTATAATTTCAATATCTAGTAACAAGTATAAAAATTAGGTACCTGGTATTTCTTATGCTTCCATTCAGCTGTTTCAGGATTAAAATTATATTGAGGTAAAAGTTTCCAACCATTCTTTGCAACCATTGCAACAGCATCCAGAATAAAATTTATGTCAGAATCAGGCATGAAAAATGGAAATGTTAATCGTATGAAACCAGGGCGCAAAATCTCCCGTTCAGAATATTCACCTTTACGTCTTAAATGGGTTCGATCCAATGATCTAAAAAATATAAGTTCCAAAGCAATGAGTAACAAACATAGGGATTTCAGTAATAAATACTTAACACCTGAAAAAAGTTAAAAAATAAAATAAAACAGAACTTTTTGTCGAGAAAAATTAAAAGCCTAAATTATTATTAGAAAAATAGTAGACAACATTTAAAAAAAATGACAAATTATTTAAAATAAGCTTTGATCTGCAAAAAAAACATCAATTATTTTGTATTTGATTCTCTAAAAACATCCGTCAAGAATTAAAAGTATTATATAACTTAATATGGATACATTATATAAAGTTTTAAATTGATAAACGAACTTTAAGTTCACAGCACATCCAAATATAAGTCCCATGATGTATGTTCTTATAAGACCCATATTGAGTTAATTTTGATCCCAACTGGGACCAATGTAAAATAGTTGCTAGGGAATATTCTAATCGTACCTGAAACAAAAATTTTTCTGCATACAAAATTATTCTATTCTAAATTTTAACTCAACTATTCCCTACTATAGTTCATTTTAATAATAGCTTTTAGTTTCTCAAACGTTCAAAACTTTGCTGACAGTACCAGTAAACAATATTTTGTTTAAATTGGAAGGGGTAAGATAGAGTTGATAAAGGGCTATAATAGTGGAATATGGAATGCTAAATGTGACTTTCATTTCGAATATTTTATTTACAACTACTATTAGCTAGATTATATAAAAATAAAGAATTTTAAACCTATCTCCTGATTGAACACTAAAAAATATTTTAACTTAAATAGCTATAACTGTAACTGGTCTTTAAACGGTGCAATATCAATATCAAGTGATTCGCTACTAAATTTCAATGTTTTTACTTGATGATTTTTCAACTAACTTTACAATTTAATTTTTTAAATTAGAAGGAAGATATTTATTCTAAAATATTGTTCGTCACTTCTTACATCACAACTTATAAAAATTCAATAGCAATACAAACATTTATGTAAGAAATAAGAATATAACCAACATAAATTTATATAACTCCATATTTTGCTATAAATATAATTTTCTATTCATGTAAATAGCAAAATAATTTGTGTCTCAATTTTTTCCTTATACAGTCGGACCTCTATTTAACAAAGTGTCTAAATCCCGATACTAAGTTCGTTATATGGAAAATTCGTTAAACAGAAAATCGCCTTTTGAAATGCTTAAAACAACACAAAACAGGTTTTAAATTCATAAACACTAGACATAATGAAAATAGCAATTCGTACACCTTTATCTTGTAAAGTAGTATTTACTATTTATTTCATAAATCTTAACCATTAAAGTAATCTGCATGAAAAGCAAGAATAGAGCAAAACATTATCCAGTGTAATACGATCATGCTACATATATTTTCAACAAAAAAAAGCTAAATTTATGCATAAAATTATAAATGCATTTATTACAAAAGTAATTTTAAACCTACATTATCACATGCGTTCTTAAGTTTAATTGCTACTGATAAAGTCCGTTAATTTTCTGAGTTTTCAGTTTGAAATGCAAACAAAAAGGGAAAGGGATTTTACTGCTTTCTCTAAAAGTTAAGTAGCTTCTGAAATCAATTCTAGATAATTTCCTCCATAAAATGCGTTAACAAGTCTAAAATGTTCTGAAATATTTTGAAAAATAGGGAAAGTGGATCTCACAGAAAAGTTCGTTAAATAGAAATTTACTTCGCTATTTGGAAGTTATTTTAAGAAGAAATTTCCAAAATGTTCTTGGTTTCTCGAAAAAAGGAAGTAGTTAAACAGAATTCAAACTATATATAGGATGCAATTATTTTATAAGTTATCATAGTTTGCATTTCTGATTTTTTTCATAATCTAACTCTTTTGAAAGTTATTTCTAAACATTTAGGGAACATATTCACCTAAAGTAATTCATTTTTCTCTGATTACTACTTAAATTACATGTTACAAACACATTAATAATGTTGGAAGGAAGTAAACCTTAAAATACAAGCAATGCAGAATTAAAATTTGAATTATTTTCAGTTTGATGTTTTGAGAAAACTAAAAAATTTTGCAAGGGACACTAACATTTTGTTAATCAATCTGAATTGAAAAGTTGAATGTAATAAAATCAAGAACCATGCATTTTAAATAAAAATTTAAATTCAAAACAAATAAAGCTATATTGCAATTTTATACAAAATATAAAAATATATTAAAAAGAATATAAAACAAATAAACTGAGTTGAAAAATTCTTTAGCACTAAAAATATAATAATGGAACTCTAATTGTATGAACTCTGGCCACCTATTTTCCCAATTCAACTATCTGGATCACTTAGATACTGTTAAACTCAATTTAAAAACACTTCAAAAGATCTAAACATTTGCCAAAATTTGGAAAAAAGATTTTTGCCAAATTTATAATCATTCTAGAAAAACAGGCAAAAATTATTATTGAAATATTTGGTGTTTCTTTTGCTCTATGACTACAATAGTTAAGACAGAATTTTAAGTTATTAAGCAAAATTCATTTGCAAAATAAAATGTAATTGCCAATTTCTTATCAAAATACAATTATATCCAAAAAAAGTACAACTACTAGTATAGAAAATTACATAAATTAATAGTAAGATCTAAAGTTAACTTGCTCCACATTGTTTAATAATCAAATAATTTGAATACTTATTCATTAATTACTTAATTTCCTGAGATCAGCTACCAAAAAGCGCAGAAAATTAAGAGTTCGATTATAATTCATATTAACAACATACATTAATTATCATTAAAATTGAATACAAATCATACATGTTTTCAGCAAGGAGAGTATCAAAATTTGTAGCTAAATTCTCATTAATTCCAAGTAGGTCTAAAGCATATGCGCCAGCACAGGCACATCCACTTCTTGTTTGTATTCCAAACATATCATTCAACAAGGCACAAACATAATTATGATGCAAATACATGCCAGACTTTTCATGGTAAATAACAAAAGAAAATATGGGTAATCTTTGAACATGGGTATATCCAAGAATTTGAAGCTCAGGGACATTCTCCCACTTTTTTAGAACCATACTGAAATAAAAAATAAAAAAGAATTAGTCTTTCAAAATAAATAAGCATCTTTATGCACGAAATTCAATTATCATAAATTTTGATTAACTAAATAATGTCTCACTTATTTTTAAGATCTAGTTCATTGAAAGGAATTGCATAAAATGAAATTTTATCACTTATCTTTATTTTATTTAAAATTTCGGAGCATTTTCCATTACGCTGATTTGTTTAATTTAAATTAAAGAAATTAAAAATAAGTGTATTTTTAATGCATAGACTAAGAGTTGGAAAATTAGCTACGGAGTAAAATATTTAACCTTGGTAATCTGAAGATGTTAAAGAGCTACAGTAACATCCCAGTTTCTCAGAACTGGAAAAATAAAAATCTACATGACAAGTATTCAATTATCTAAAGTTAAATAAACAATAATATGAATTTAACATTATATATACATAATACTTACTACATACATAAGCTTATTTGAAAACTTTTAATTGAAAATTTTTACTTGATAAGTCATTTTGGTTGACAAAAGATATTTCTGTAAGTTATCCATTTTATAAAAAAAGGAAAATACTTTAAATAAAGCATAATTTGCTTTATAGCTATTAAATTTTAAAGTAGAAATTACATTATTAACAGCAATTTTCACGAAAACATATAATTTTTAGTGGGACACTATATTAATACTTTGATGACAAAAATTTCAATTTCTAAACACAGCAGAAAATGAATTATTAGCACTTAAACATTAAACAGGAAGAAAATACATTTTGAAAAGGCAACAAAGACATGATTGAAGATTTTCAAAGATCAAAGTCTTTCCAAAGATGTCTACTAGAGCATATAGCCAGGAACAATGTATCACATGTCTAAAAACTTATTTTTGAATAATAAATTTTTTCAATGCTTAAAAGAATTTCCAAAATGAATGTCTACTCTAAAAGAATTAGTTGTAATAAGTTATGCTATTCTGAAATAGTTTATGTTAGAAAAATTAGGGATTTCACTTTGGAATGTTATCCTATCATCACACTGTTTTATTATCACATTGTTTTTAAAAAGAGTTTGTTGTAATAAGTTAAGCTATTTTTCAATAGTTGATGTTACTAAAAAAATGGTTTTGCTTTGGAATGTTTTCCTAATATCGTTGGCAATTAGGAATTGTATATTACAGTAGGCTTGCTATTAAGAAAAATATCATCTTAAAAATATTCAAAACCTTTTTGCATATTAAATTAAACTAGCATCAAAAAGTTAATTAAGTTTCCATATATTTCTATTATTATTTTATCTTGTTTGAATAGATATAGTATAAAATTTTGTAGACAAATTTAATAAAAGTTGTGTTTATGTAAATTAACTACCTTTCACATTGAGATGATAAAACTAATCTTATGGTAAAATAAGGGAAGCATAAGAACAGTCATATATTTCATATTGATATTTATTTGATATAATGATTGATAATATTGTACAATGCTTTTCAAAAGACCTAATAAATATGATGAATTTGAATAAACATAAAAAATGAACAAAATATGCAAATGTTAATTACTTGCAAATTTCTTTGTCTCTCTTTGATATGATATCTATTCCAACAGCATCTTTCAGTTGAAATGCCATGCCTGCTCGAATTGCACCAATGATAGAAGGAGTTCCACCTTCTTCTCTCATTTCAATATCTTTTAAATAGCGGTGACCATTTCGTGTAACCTGCAAAAATTTAAACATAAATAAAGTTAGAGTTATGATGAATAGAAATATTACTCAGATATAAATTGAGTAAAAAATAAATAATCAACAATAGGTTACAACTCTTTCTGTGACACAATTAATAAAAACTAATCAGCAATAAATTTTATTGCGGATTGAAAGTAAAAAAAATAATTAAAACTATTAGAAGCTTGTACTGATTAATTATAGCTTATGTTATTAATATAGAGGTATGCAAAAAGAATTTTATATAATATAGTTTTTATATTAAAATGTTATTTTTACAAATTATTTTTCACAATTATAACTGCACAGTTTTAAAGTTAAAAAATGCTAAAATTGTTTTTAAAATTGTAGAAATGTGTAAATATATTAATAAATATATTAACATAAATGTAAAAGAACACAGCTAAATCTTTCTTGTGAAATTTATTCAGAATGATTCTTAGATAAAAATGAAAAATATTAACATGATATTAAATACGTAAGAATGCCTCTTATTCTGTAAATATTTTTTAACATTTATATCGAAAATAGCAACATCTTGAACGCGCTAATGCCATATAACGTTTCTAAAAATACAATATATTCTAAGATCCAAAAAAACATTTGTTTCGAAGAAGGAAATGTCCAACATAGTTTTACAATTAATATCAAGTCAATTTAAGATTATCAAAATACTTAAAATCAAAATAAAACAAAATTAGTCTTTAACAAAAAATTAAATAAATAAATAATAAAATTTTTTATGCATGGAATACAATTATTTTCTATGCATGAAACATTTGCATGGAAAAAATTGTTCTATTCCATGCATAGAATATTTTTCATAAGGTGCAGATTTTTAATATAACACATCAATATGCTTGGAATGCTTCAGTATAATGTTTTGAATGCAAATATATATGTTTAAAGATAACATTTCCTTAAATTTGAAACTTTTCTAACTAAGCATTTCAAATTAAGCTACATACCTGAGCTAAAATGGTATGGGATTTTAAAAAATGAAAGTCCAATTTTCTGTATTCTTTTTTAATATTAATTATTTTGCTGTTCATACATTTATGAAAATGAAATCATTTTTAGGTAGTTCATTTTAATTTTAATATTCTTTTTTATTTTTCAACAGTTTCAAAAATGATCCTCATACAAAAAACAATTTTCTTTATCATTTATCCTTGCAGCTACTAGCCTTCAGACAAAAGATTTAATGCGTTTGAGAAGAAAGTTAAAGTATTTATTTTGTTATTCTTTTATTTTCAACGTATTTATTATGATAGACGTCAAATCTTTTCTAGCAGAAATAATGATATACATCACAGATTCGATTGTTTACTAACACTTTAATCTAAAAGAAAAATGTTTTACAAGAAAGTAAGGTTTTCATTCCAATGTCACAGGTAAGACTTGTATTTCAATTTAGTTTCCCCCTTGAACATATTCATGGAGGAAGCTATAGTTTCTCCCCCTGAAGAATTTTTTAATATTAAAAATACAAGTGAATAACTTGATAAACACTCAAACTTAGTACCATGCTCAGTTTTATTGCTATCTTATTGTAAAAAGTTATTAAATACAGGAAGAAAATATGCATCCGAAAAACAATCTTTATTAGAGCATGAAGGAAGCGTGGAATTAAGTATTTTATACCTTCATTTTTCACAGTAAATTTACCGTATTCTTGTTTCATACTTCCTTTATGAAGAGGTAATATTAATATAGATTTTTTTTAAATATTTCTTCTGCAAAGAAACCTTTAAAGTTATAAAACAGGCTGTTTAATTCTTCTTCAACTGTATCAAACAAACTCTTTCAAACTGAAAAATATGCACAAGTATTTGCATAAAAAAATAAGTTGGCATAAAAAATTCTGACACCCGATGCCTAAAAATTTTGATAATTACAAATTCGCTAGTTTTAAGCAACACAACAAAAAATATAATATTAACGTTTAAAATAATGAACCTTTTCCTTTGATATATATTAATTTATATTAAATAATGATAACTTTCAAGAAAAAAAAGGACTATATTTAAACTAGGACTTAAAAAATATTTTTGAAAGAATATAACATTAATCATTAGTATCTAAAATAATGAATTAGAATTTAAAAGAATTGATTAAGATTTTAAAAAAATTATAAGAACTTACAAAAAATATTGTTCCACCTCCAGGTTCACATGGAACTGAATTTGAAAAAAGATTTTTCTTTGCAACTAAAATACCTGTTGAAAAAAAATTAATTTTTAGTAAAATTACACAGAAGTTCATGATTGCTGATTAGCATAATGAGCCAATTATATAAAAGAATTGAATTTCAATCACAAGATTAAAAAATATAAATGACACTTTGATGTGTGTACAGAATACAGATACAGATTCTATGAGAGATACAGATTCTCACATTCATGTTTCATGAAGTCATATGAAAGCTTCAGAAAGATTTAATATCAGGACTTTTTGGAATGAGCTGTATTAAAATAAATATTTGTTCCAAAAGCAGGAATAAAACGATATTTTTCATTATATGGTAGGTTCATAATTATTTTAATTATTTTTCTCCTTAAATGTTAACAAGGCTTTATGTCAGGCCTCTCAACAGACCACTGAAAATTATTTACATCTGTATGCTGTATACCAAAGTTTGTCAAAAATTGAAACTTAGCTTGGATATAATGTAAGCATACTTGTGTATTAAGCATTATTATATGGTAGAACACATATATTTTTGATTGGGAAAAAATAAAGAGAGGTAACAAGCAGAATTGAAATTAATTACAGAATAACTTATTTTTTTTTTAGTACTTCATTAATATTTTAATTAATTCACAAATAATTTTAGTTTTGTACAATCAATATCATCCATAATTAGTTTTTCCAAAGAAATATAAATGAAAGAATAGGACCTAAGTAATAAAATAAGCAACAAATTAGTTACCATTATTATCAAGTTTCTTGAAATTAAGATCAATTATTATTATAATAAAAAAAAGTCTTCAGTCATATTCTTAACACAACCATAGTTAAAAACTAGGATATTGAAAATAAAACTTCATAAAATTGAAATAATAAAAGTTTGAAGCTACGTAATTTGATTTCTTCCGAATCAATGATTGAATACATATAAAAATTAGTGTTGAAATCAAGAAGTATATACAGCAGAAACTTGATTACTAAAATCTCTTTCTTCATTCACCAGGCAGAGTAATACATTTAGTTATTTGGAGGTTTAATTTATCAACTATTCAAAAATTTTGATTATATGAAGTACATTTGGTCCCTGTTACTTTGGATAATCAAGGTTGTACCATCAGGGCAAAAAATAAATATAGGTTTTGATGAATAATTTTTCGACTATTGAGTTTAAAATAATTAATTCCATAACATAAAACTGTTTAGAAATTAGAATCTTACAACAGTAATGAAATCATAATTAGTATAAAAAAAATTCTGAATAAAAAATTATAAAAAGTAAGTATACAATTAAAGTTGATTCTGGGTTAGTGCAAAATAAAACTTTCTGTCCACTAACAACATAATAAGAAACATATACTCATAATAGTTTGTACTTAAGCTATGGTTTAGTTTATGATATTAAAGATTTAGTATCAATTTTGAAAAATACTGTACAAACCCGGAGTATCTGGACCACCAACAAATTTATGAGGAGATATAAAAATGGCATCCTTGTAAGCAAGACCCTCATTTTGTCTGCAAATGTATAATAATAAATGTTAAAAAAGTGAGACTTTAACAAAGAAAAAAAAGAACAAATATGTTTATTAATAAGTAACCTAAAAATTAAGTTTCCTTCTTTTAACACATACATTGTCAGAGAAAAAGATATTCAAAAAGCATAGAGGGATTTGTGCAAATATTAGTATATAAACACAACAGTTCGATAAATTTCTTGTTGTTGCATTTTTTTAGTTAGGATGTGAAATATCAACATTTTAAAAACTATTAACCTTTTAAAAACAAATTACTGGGTTTATATGACAGATAAGAGAAATAAAATTTATGAATCATTTTTATTACATATGTTTCAGTTATAGTTTAATTTTACTTTAAATCATATTTGAAAGAAAATAATTAATTTAAATAACAGTTTTGCTTCCATTTTAATATCTGGAAAGATTTAGTAATTAAAATATGACTGCAATGGAGACTGTTTGCAAATATAATAAAACTGCAATCACACATCCAACATCCTTTCCTTAAAATAACCACCTGTAAAAGTAAATTGGGACATTATTAAATTTTTTGTTTAATCTATGGATGGTATTATTCCCCAAGAAAGAGATAAATCTCTTTCACTTTAGCGCTGAAATTTAATAATACTTAATCAGTTTTAGTGCATACATTTATCAGTTGCAACAGAATTTAGTTGCGTTCTATGTTCATTGTAGTTAACTTTAGTATTTGACCTAACTAATACAGGTCTGCAATTACTACATTTTTTGTAAAATATTTTATTGAATGGTAGACAATCAAAAACTAAAATTTCAGAATATTTGTTGATTTTTCCACCATTTCAAAAGCCTCACCTCGAAAGAACAAGAAAGTGATTTTTTATATGAACTTTTGAATCATTTACATGTAGTGGTATAGAAAATAGCTTTAAATCAAACTTACTTAACAACTGATCATACATTAAAACTGAAAATTTTCTATCACTAGAAAAACTTTTCCCAAAAAGCGTACAAAGTCCGCAACCATGCTAATAGCTAACAAGTGGAAAGTTAATAGCTTAAGAGTCACTTTGCTTGAATTCAACAAAAATAAACAATGAATGATTTTTTAACCTAATTAGAGCCATAATAATTTATTGTTGGCATTTTGTTCATTATTTTTAACATTCAGCTTTATGGAAGAAAACAGAAACAAGCTTACGTAATATAAGTTTTGACATAAAATTAATGTACTTATTATTAGTCATTCTACTGCAAAACAAATAGGTCTAGTATTGTTAAACAATTTGTCTTTATTTACCCGAAAACAATTGGATTCATGTTTATATCAACATAAGGTCCAGCAGCTGCATAGTCCCAAAATGATAAGGCACCATATCTATGAAGTAAAATAGCTATTTCTTTATCATCTACAACAATTCCGGTAACATTAGAAGCAGCCGTAAAAGTTCCTATTAGTTGATAACCTTGATTAGTATGTTTCTAAATATATAAAAAAAGAGAAGCTGTTTTAATATGTACAACAATTAATATTTGAATACATATCATAGTCAATATACAAAAGCTTATTTAACAAACGTAACTATCTTTAAAGTGAAATCTTAAAATACTTTCATATTAAGTACTTAATAATCTTTACCTTTATACTGCTTTATACTTTTTAAAATATATATTGGTATAGTTAATGACTAACAATTTAAATAAAGCAAGCATCACATTTTGCTATTAAAAATCTTAATTTACAATGTTTAAAAATGTAACTGTGTCACTTTAAGATAATTATTGTACAATTTTAATAACTCAAATTTAGATAGACCAATTAAAAACTAACAAAAATTAAATTTAACAATAAGCAAAAAAAATTTTCTAGGCAGTACTTCTTGCAGAAAAAAAAATTTCACCAAATTTCAATTTAATTAGTCTTTTATAAAGATTGGAAAAGTTAACTGCTATGTATACAATACAAATATATGCTATTTTACATTCAATTTATTTCATTAACAATTGCCTTTTATAGTAAAATTTTGCAAAATACTAAGCATATCAGATAATAAATAACATTTGAATTCAGTAAACACAGAAGTTTTTGATAATTTATATAAAACAAACTTTTCCAGTTATTTCCGTAAACTCAATAACTAAATGTATAAATGTGTAAAGTGAATAAAACAATGTTTATAAATACCTTCAATTCAGATTCTAAATGCTCAAGATCAACTAAGCCAGTGGCTGTCTCTTTAATTCTCACAATCTACAAGTAAAAAAAGCTTTCTAATTAAATATAGAAAGTAATAAATAGTAGTAAGGAAAATAATTTGCTACGAGCAAAAAAAAAAAAAATGATTAATCACCAAAACTTATCACAAAAATATAAGGAATGCATGGATTTAACACAAATTACACCATAATTATCTTCTTTTACTAAATAATTATTTACATATAGCATATTTTCTAAATTTGCAATTAATTATGAAATTATTTTAATCATTGATTTACGCAACTTAATTTTTTAAGATAAGGAAAAAGCAATGAAAAGATGCATTATATATTAGTTCTCATTTCTGAGAATGCTTCTTCAAATAAAATTGCTTCTCTATATACAGCATGAGAGTAACTCGTGAAATTGTTGAAGAAGCATGAAGATTAATAGAGAGTTTTTTTACAACTAGACAGTCAGAGGAATAAACATTTCTTGGATTTCTGCAGAACATTTTAACTTAATTGTAAAAAATATATTTTTTTATTAAAAATGTTTCTTTTCAATACATCAATTTAATAAATATTCAGATAAGAAACATACTTTAGCATTAATTTCTCTCCAAGGCAATACATTTGAATTATGTTCATAAGGCCCAACAAACACCACCTATGAAAATAAAAACAAAAAGAGTTAAAAGTTAAAATGCATAGTTTTTTAAAAAAAATAGAAAAAACATTTGTGGTAAAAAATAAATTAAATTACAACTTAGTTAGAGAAGATTAATTACTTTTGACTTTAAAACAGTTTTAAATAATAACATGAATGTAAAAAAATAATATTAATCAAAATATTATAAATGCCTGATACGGAACTTGTCATACTGCATTTGATTTACAGTATGTTTCTGATTATGCAGGCAATAGAAACATTTTATAAAAACATCAATATCTATAAAGAGGGAAATTTATTAAAATAATAAAGAGATATAGATCTTCCAGATTTAGTACGAAATAATTTTTATAAAAAAAAGTGAACTACACAACTATAGAGTAAATGAATATTAAAGAAAGAGTTATAAAAATCAAATGACTTACTGTTGGAATGTTAATACTTAAGGCATGAATCAACTTGTTGACAGCACTTGTGCAACCATTTCCAGTCAAAATAACAGCATCATGTTCACTAGCATTTACAGATTTTCGAATAATATCCCTGGTAAAATAATTATGATAAATATTAATTTTCATCTAGTAATATAATGTTCAATAAATTACAATTAAAATAAATGTTATTTGTAATTCTGTCATTTTCTTAAACAAGTATCTTGAGCTATGTCCATTTTTTTCAATACACATTTTAAGCAATGATTATTTCAAAATAAAAAACACACCAGTGTTATACAAAGTAAGAGTTCTCTATTACTAAGATTTTTTTTTCTTTTCTTTTTTTTTAAAAAAAAGGGGGGGGGGGGGAAGAAACAGAAACTTTAGTAAAAATAAATTCACTATGTATCAAATATAAAAGATTTACATTTAGCAAAAAATTGAAAGAAGACGCAAGTTAAAAATAGCTACATACAATATTCTTTAACATTAAGGGATAAATCAAGTAAAATTATATTTTATTTTAGTTCCCTTAAAAATTTTAATTTAACAAGAAAAAGTTGTGTTCTGGAAATATGTAATATAACATTGAATACAATAATATTAAAAAAAATAATATACAATTTGACATTTAAAGAAAAAGAGTGAGATACAGAATGCATTAAAAAATTAATTGAAAAAATGCAAACTGATATTAAAAAATTATTTTATCTCATTATGGTTCATATTTACTTTGATACCTACTTGATAATAGAAGCAAAAGAAAATACAGCAAAAAGTGTAAAAAAGACAAAAACGATGAGTAAAGCATGTGAAAATACAGGGTGAGCCAGTCAAACCTGCAATTTTTGAAATGACTGTAAAAAATAAACAGATGGATATTTAAAAATTGTATTGTTACTATCTTAATCTCCATTAAAAAGCATTTAAGAAACAACATTCTCTGTTTACAAAAAACGCCAGTAAGATGGCGTCCTTCCTGATCGAGACATTCTTGCAGACGATTTCTGAAACTGCCCATCACATCACGGAGCATACGCTGAGGACCGATTGCTTCACCAATTGCTTCAAAGTTTTTCACCCACAATTTGATTGAATTAACAGGCGGCACTGGTCTATTTTGATTAATTTGAAAATTTGTCCGGTAACGACGCTGAGCGGCTGCATAACTACTACTTCGGTAAAACGCTTTCACAGCGAAAAAACGTTGTTGTTTAGACCACTGCTCCATAGCTACTGAAATGCTTAGTTGTGGGGGACACAATGGTAACCTTGGTAACTCTCTCCGCCCACTTCCACGGCTCCCCCGCCCTTTTCAAAAATGCAGGTTTGACTGGCTCACCCTGTACTTTTAGTAAGATACCGCCTTCTCATTAAATAATTTAATTTGCATTTCATAAAACTACAAAAAGGCTCCCACAACTTTAAATAACAATTTTTTGTGTTAAATTTTAATATATTAAAAGTAAATTTATTTTTACGTCTCACATGTATATAAAAAATTTATTATTTATCATCATCATCAAATTTTTAAACAAACAAATATATAATCAAAAGTGAACTAAAGAACTAAAATAATGCAGTGACAATATATTTTAATAATTAAAGATGGTAAAGAAGAGAATAAATAATTACATATTTCGAAAAGCTTTTAACTGAAAAATGTTGGTATATTTGTCTTAGCCAAAGGTTTTACTCAAATTTAAAGAAAATCCTATTACACAAACCCCTAACGAACAGGAAAAGAGGTAAACCCAGGCTGAGATGGCTGGATTTAGTTGAGACTGACTTCCTTACTCTAAAGGAGAAAAACTGGCGAACAAGTGTCAAAAGTAGAGAGAAGTGGATTCGAATTCAAGGGAAGGCACTGGCCCACCCTGGGCTGTCTAGCCAGATATGATGATGAAAGGTTTTCATTTGTACATTTAATAAAAGCTTTCAATAAATAGTTTTAAATTTTAAATATGGTATAAACGATTAAAGTATATCTTGTATTTGGCAACATTTGGATAAGACAAGTGTATCATGGATAGGTCAAAAATTTTCAGTTAACATACATAAAAGGGTTTAAACTGACTGATAAAAAAAAGGCAACATATGAAATCTGAATAAATTTTTAAAAGTGAAAAAAAAAATTTCTTCCATATTTCATAATTTTATACATCTACTGTTTTTTTTCACACAAATTCAGGTAAATATCCTTTCTCTCTCACAGGAAAGATTAAAATTATAAAATTTAAGATGATATCAATAAATAGCATTAGTACATACAAGCACACTAAATAAAAAAGAAAACTAACTTAGCTTCATGTCTGAAATATGTACTTTGTAGAGATGTTGCAGTTATTGTTGTGTGTGTATTACCATAAAACGGAAGAACATGATTACTAATGTATTCTTCAATAAACTTTACAGGCTGACCAGATGCTGCATAATCACAATATATAACTAGAAAATCAAGATATATATAAATGATAATCACACACAATTAAAAAGTTCTCATTGCTAACAGGGGTCTGTCCAGGCCAAATTTACTACCGTTTAGCGGTACCTTCACAAATTCAACTTTAATAAAAACGGTAGCAAAACAAAATACTTTTTTTTTAAATTTTATTTTTGTATCCCGTAAGAAACATTAAATCAATATCTTTACCATATTTTTGTGTTGATTTTTCAATATAATTTTTAATTTTCACAAATTATGTCTAAATTTTCATAAAATAGGTACCTCTCAGAAAAACCTAGACAGACCCCTGATAATAAACATTTATTATCAATTCCTAATTAATTTTACAAACAGCAGAGTTCTAGTCGTTCAAATTTCATTCCTCTTGATCACTTTTAAGAAAAGTGTGTAATTAGTGTTTACATTATAAAACTTCAAAATTCATAGATGTTAATATCTCAGAATACTGAGAAGTTACACACAGACACTAAATTAGTGGAAAACATTTCATTTGCATTAGATATTTTTCTTTCAGAATTTCTTTGTTGTTGTTTATAAATATAGACTAATTTTAATTATATACAAAGAAAATGTAAAATAGCTGTGATTCATATTCATAAAAAATTGTCTAAAAGCAAATCAAATAGGGTAATGACCTCAGATGGGACAAAATAACAAAATAAAGCATAGAAAAGATATACTAAATTATGTTTGTTAAATTATAATTGCTTTTTATAGTCATTTAACTAATTAAGAAGAAGAACACTTTTCCTATATTTATTTAATCAGTTCATCTAATATAGTTTTAAGCCCTTATATTTTTGTTTTTATAGTTACTAGGAGCAGTTAATTCATAATTTAACAGCAATTGTTTAATAAAATTTAAAAAAAAAATATAAGCTCAAAATATTTATAGATTTATCTTATTGTCATTCAAGTCATAAAATTCCATGTTAGTAAAAATCTTTTGATTACTATTCAACACAATTGTCACGCTTTAATTTTGGACTTCTGATAATCATTGTCTCTTCAGTGTTTTTTCTTCTTTTTCCCTTTAAATTAAAAATACACTAAAGTAATAAAGTAAATGAAAATAGAGATAGATAATGGAAGGAGTTAAAGAGGAAATGCAATCAAAGTTTCGTAAAATGTTAACGCTGAGGAATGTAACAACTGTTACATAAAATATGAATAAAATCAGCAATTACAGTTTTGATTTGAATGATTTTAGATGTGAAAGGTAAAATAAGTAAATCTCTAAGAAACCAGGAATAATTACACTATGAAGTTACATGAACATTTACACAAAATTATGAAGAAAAAAAAATTTCTACTTTGATTGTCACGATTTTAGTTGTGAATTTCTATCAGACTAACATGCACTGCATTTATGTTGAATGCTACACAAACAAATACTACACAGTTAAAAATAATAATGAAAAAAATCAATAATTACTATTTTGATTATAATGATTTAGTTTGTACAGTAAAGAAAAAATAATAAAAAATCTCTACTGTCGAACAATACACTCATATTCACAATGGGGATATTTCCATATCGTGATTTGTCATACCAAGTATAATTACCAAAAAGATTTTAAGCTAGCGATTTTTTTTAAAGGAAAAAACACATAGAAAGTGTTCAGCCCAGGGTGGCTACGAGTTTTACCTCAGGAGTTGGTCCTTTTTGTGATTTTTCCCCGCATGGGCCCCTACCCAAAAGTTTCCAAGTTTTAAAAATTATTCGGACACAAATCATGATAAGGAAATTTTCCCTTGACGTGATTGACAATGGATGAACATTAGCTAAGAAAGCTTGATACCATACTTTGAAAACATTTAAACTAAAATAAACAAATTTACCAGATCTCCAACCAAATGGTCCATCAAATTGCGCAGTTCGACTCGAAATATTGGAGTAAATTTCTTTAAGAAGCAGAGATCTCTCTTCAACTCCTAGGGATTCTGGTTGTTCAACGGTGGTGTAATCCTCAGGTAAGGAATAAAAAAGACGATTACCAGAGTTTTTCACTGCAGGTACGTGTTGAGCACTCAACTCAGCTCCATTTTCGATAGATTTCTCAATTTTGGTTACGATGTTTTCCATCATATTAGAAGAAAAACATCGAATGAATTTATTAGGCTTTAAAATCAACGATCGGATTCGTATCATATACTACAAGAAAAGCGAAGTTATTGTGATAAACCACAAAAATATCACATTGCAAGGTAAGAATTCGTGGAGAGATATTTCAGATGAGTTTAATATGAATCAAATTTAAATGTTTATGAATGAAATACCAATTATACACGTGTCTATTGATGATATGATTACTTTTTTTTTTAAACAGTGGTTGTCAACAAAAGTTGATATATGTCATTGATGGATTGATCTAAAAGAATAGCAACTGAGATTAATTAATAAGTTTTATACATTTTTTAAAAATTAGCTTATAGCTTTCCAAAATTGCATTAATATCAATTATAGAAGGCGCTGTAATCTCTAATAATTGAATCTCATAGAAGGGAACGAAATCTAAACTGATTTCTCTAGCAAGTTAAGAAAACTTAAACTTTCGAAAAACCTATTTAAGAAAGCTCAAGTGCATTTTAGGAAAGCTTAAAATTGATAGTGAAAACAGATTATAATACCCTTTTTAAAGAGTTGAGTTTTCTTCAGTTTGAAATTGACGAATGGATGGGTGATCGTGTAAAGCTAAGGGTGGCGGCGCTAGTGGTAAAATTGCTCTTTCTAGACTTCCGGGTTACTGCTTCCGATATATTTTTACGCCGCAGATTGAAAAAACGCGCCATCATATTATTGCATCATATCTTTTGCAGTATTTCACATGTACCGAGTTCTTTCTTTCAGCCTTTAAACTTCAGCATTATCATATTAATATTATAATCATTAGAATATTTTCTAATTAGGCTATCTTAAAAAGATATTTTTAAAGATATTTTTGGTAACATTTTATTCAAATGTAGCCAAATAAGGGATAAAATACAAAACATGGCAAACCTTAAGAATTATTCACAATGAGATATTAACTTTCCAAAATTTTTTTTGGCCTTACGACCTCTGAGAATCAATACATTTCTGAAAGCTCTTATGAATGGTTCATGTGGTTTGAAAAGTT